AACCTCTATTCCATTTTGAGGCATACTTTTTCAAAAAAATCAATGAATGCTGTCAACTCTGACTTTAGGAGTGCTATGGGGTTCCCTACGTGCCTGAGGGTCCTTGGCTTTGTCGAAAATGTCTTCACTCGCCGAGCGAACCTGTCGTTTGTTGCTTATGTCCAAATCTTGGCGGAGCCTTCAAAAAGACCTCAGATGATCGCTGGGCGCACGTCATCTGTGGTCTGTGGGTGCCGGAGGTGATGTTCGCAAACCTCACGTTCCTGGAACCGTTAGAGGACATCGACAAAATTTCACCAGCCAGGTTGGTTTATTAGGTCATGGCTCCCCTTTTATCGACGCGCCATGCGTGCTCTCATGATTGCCTTGTAATACGGTTAGAGACCTCAGCTGGCGCACAGATATTGCCCCCCCCCTTCAGATACAGATTATATCAATCGTGTATTCTATTCTTTATACCGGTTCTCAGTTGCCTTTGGAGTATTTAGCAGAATGGAGCTAGACTTTGGCCTGCCACTACCTACAACAGTCGCGGGGAATTTTGCGAGGTAGGGAAGAGTAAGCCGGTGACCAAATATGGAGAGCACGGCAACCTCACCCTTAGTGTCAGTTTATTGTGTTGTCGTTAAGTGTTGCTACTCAAATCCTGCAGCTTCGCGCCTATCCCAGTCAGATGACTGTCTACATTACTGTGGCATCGTCTGTACCTAGACGTGCTAGACGTGCTAATGGCTACTGAAATTTGATAGCAGTCGCTTAAGTCCGTGACTCATGTAAGCCAGGCAGGCAGGTGGTTGTTTGATGCAACGACTGGTTTTGGTCCGTACCGCAGACTTCCAATGGACCTAATGAAAGCTGTCCGACCGCGGCATTTCAATTCATGCCATGGCCTCCCTTGTCATGTTAAATTTGTGCGGGTGAATATTAGACCACCTGGGATGAACCATTCTTCTCAGATGGGGGAATATGCGACCGTTTCTTTATTCTGGTACCCAACGTCAGACTCAGCAGTCTTCATCAAAAAGGTGTGATTATCCGCTGCCTGTTTGTGGCACGAATCCTGGACTCTGGCTGCTGAAGAACCGTGATCTCCGGAGTGAACTTCTGCCTCTGCCTTTATAGATGTCGCTCTGGCGATGTCCCTGGTTTCCAAAGACTTGGCATAGCAATCAAAACCTACACAAGCTGTCAGTTAATCTACCTTGTCGATCCACTTCAATGAACGCTGTTCCCGGCATTGCGCCTGCTCATCCGAGCAATTTCGCTGAGATATCTACAACTGACGAAAGGTTGCTTAAACCGCTGTCGGTCCCTTATATCGGAGCTTGTGTCATTTTAACTGCATGCATGGGTGAGCGTGTCAAAAACTTTACCATCTTTTCGTGCGCATATCTTGCCACAGATGCAGGGGGTCGACTTTAGCTAAGCGGATCTTTCGTTTTGTCTGAGACATATCTTTGCCCACCGAGGACATCGAGGGTAGTAGAACGCACCACTAGCCGACTTTATCCCTTATCATATCTCTGGTTATGGTGCGGCAGGGCAGTCGCCCATTCCAGTCTAATTGACTGATTTTTATACCTGAGTAGTCAGATGTTACCTGCGGTCATCTGCATTCAGCTGTCATCCTTCGCGGTTGGAAATATCTCCTCGGTCGCGATATACGGTTAGGCCTGTAACACCAGGTCTAACGGAAAAGCTAGAGATAAAATCCACCATCATATCTACCAAACGCAAGCGGCCCTCGATTTTGTCGAAGCCTCTGAAAACAACTTAAGACCATCTGGACGACCAAAGTGCGAGTATGTGAGACTTTATCAAGACAATCCTTTCGTCTGAACTCGAGCCACGGCCCTTGCGTTCACTCCTTTTGGGTAGGGAAACGGTGAAGCAGGACTCGATACACATTCCGCTCAAAACTGCCCCTGACCAGACCTTCAGTGACGTCAAGAACGACCTCCATATTTATATAACCGATCCACGCACCTGGGTTATTAGGTTTTTTATGCGAAAAACGGTTCACTGCCGTGTCGTTCTCTTTGCTCTCTCTCTCTTTCTCACTCACTCACTCACTCTCTCTCTCTCTCTAAAGGTGGCGATTGCAGTGTTTCATTTGCAAACAACGCAATGTTGGTGCCTGCATTCAATGCCACAAGCCGAGCTGCTACCGGGCCTTTCACGTGACTTGTGCTCAACAGGCGGGCTTATACATGAAAATTGAGCAGAGTGATGATCCAGCTGACTTGGGGGTTCGCAAGAATGCCTTCTGCGATCTTCACTGCCCACCTTCGCATTTTAAGGTGATATCGAGTCTACCTCTCTTTTTCAGTTATCTCCTTGTTAGCAAACTGCAAATCCAGTTACTTGTATCCCCTGTCCTGGCCACAAAGTCTACGTGGTGCCTTCGTTTAGTAACTTCCGCATTTAAATTCAACAGGGCTCGCGGGGTATGTATGCACATTCTGACACGGAGAATGAGGCGACAGAGGACGAGGAGCAGGTGAAACGTGATTGTCTTCGCAAAGCTCGGAAGGTTCTCGCAGAGCGCCGAAATTCAAAGCCACTAGTCTGCGTGCCTCTGGTTCCCAAGGCAAAAACGGATGTGAGTTATGTGCCCGTTATTCCTTACATGGACTTTAAAATTGATACCATCACCCTAGTTGATCTGCCACTGCTTCAAGTTGTTTGGGTGTATTCCGATTCATCCGCGGGGAGCTTGTTATATCTTTTCACCCCGACCACTGTCCACGCCTTCGACCTAATGTTTGCCCTGAATAAATGGCAGAGTGTTGTTAAGCTAGGCTTAGTGGACAGGGCGGACTCAACCGTCTTCGGCCTTCTCAAAGAGACCGTTGATTGAGCAACAAGTACCAAGTAACTAATTATTTACCACAAAGCATGATTTTCACTTATCCACGTTGCCAGCCGCTGAAACAGGGTAGTCCAGTGCTGCTGATAGCCGCCTCACGTACAGCTGCACTGTACGTCGAAACTCGTGAGACGTTGACTAGGGGACTTAAATTGTGCCCTCGAATGTAGACGTCTACTTAACTGGAATTGCAGTGCCGATAACCAAGCAACATAGTATTGAGTTCATCCATACATCCTGGCATGTTAACATTGCAATAAAAACCTTTTTCTTCACCTAGGTCGCTCTAAGTCAAGAAGATATTCATTTATGCGTACTAAACGCCCCCTTTCCTTCTGAATGCCTATATATAAGGCCACTTTTTGCTCCCCGGTGCAATTTTTAAAAAGGCGGTTTTCTATTGTCGTTTGATTTGTAGTTACGCGTCTAGGCTTGGTGCAATGGACTTCAGTTAACCTGATCACCACTTAACTGAGCTAGTTGCCCACTTAGGTTAAATGCCGAAAGAGAGGAGAATAAAGCATGTGTTACCGCGAATTCACTCCGTCTATTAGGGTCACCAGTCGGCTTCACTGGCTCAGTATTTGTCCCATTTCAAAAATCAGGGAGGTAAGAATGGCAGAATAGCTTAAATTTGTGGCAAAGTGAGCGGTCTGCTGGTCGGAAGACCAGCTTCCATAAGCCTTCAGCCGCCGTGGCATCACGAATGGCCAAGGAGGTACGCCGGCCAGATGCTGATGTTTGGGGCGCATCACTTCTGTGCTGCAGTTGTAGATACACGTGACTGGATTTGCATCCTCCGCTTAATGAGGAGGTAGCTGCATACGGCGGACAACAGGTCCATGCTCCGTTGCATCTCCTCTTCCGAGGTGGTGTTTAGGGCGCAGTCGTCGGCGAAGAGGAGTTCGTGAACGGTGGTTGTGGATACGCGCGATCGGAAGTGCATCCGCCGTTGATTCAGGAGGTGACCGTCCGTCCTGTAGGCGATGCGGATCCCAGGGCTTTCGTCACGGTAGGCGTCCATCAACATGGCAGAGAACATAAGACTGAAGAGGATGGGCGCCAGAACTCAGTCCTGCTTCACCCCGTTGGTCACAGCGAATGCTTATGAGACAGCTCCATTGTCCGTGACTCTCGCCGTCATGCAATCGTGGAGCTGACGCACCATCTTGGTGAATCATTGGGGACAGTCGAATTTCTGCATGATTTTCCACAATCCTTCACAATCCACCGCATCGAAGCCTTTCGTCACATCCACGAAAAACAGTAGAGGTGCGTCTGCATCACTTGACACTTCTGCGGTTGGCGAGAAGTGAAGATTATGTCCGTGGTCTCATGATGTCGACGGAAACCGCACTGGCTTTCGAGCAGGAGACCTTGTTCCAGATGGTGGTTCAGGCGGCTATGGAGAGTGCGATCGAAAATCTTCCCGACGATGTTCAGCAAGGAGATGCCTCGATGGTTGTCACAGAACTGGCGATTACCTTTCCGGTCATAGAGATGCACGATTGTGTCATCTTTGAAATGCTGCAGGACTTCTCCTTGACGTCACAGCTGGAAGAGCGCCGTCAGATGATCCATGAGTTGGGGGCCACCGTGTTTGTAGATCTCAACAGGGACCGCGTCCGACCCGGGCGCTTTCTCACTAGGAAGCTGCTGCACGGCCCTGATGGTTTCGTGGGGAGAAGGCGGGAGGTCGAGGTCAACATTGGTCTTCACTTGAGGCAGACGGGTGATGGCGACCCCGCAGGTCGTGGAGGGACGGTTGATGACGCCTCTGAAGTGCTCGACCCACTGTTGAAGAATTGGTGCCTTCTCAGTGAGGAGGGTACTGCCGTCGGCGCTGAGAAGAGGCGCTATTGCTTTGGTTGGCGGACCGTAGACAGCTTTGGTTGCGGCGTAGAAGTTGTTTCATTCGTTGCGGTCCGTGTACCCTTGGATCTCTTCGGCTTTCAGAGCCGTCCATGCGTCCGGCATCTCCCACAGCCGCTCTTGCACAAGGCGGCGACTGGAGTAGAAAACTGCTTTGCTTTCGTCGGTGTTGCGTTTGACGAAGGCCTTATGCAGGCGGTTCTTCTCGGCGAGCAGGTTGCTGATGGCGACATCGCTGTCATCGAATCAGTCCCAGTGTTGGCGACGTGCGCAACCGAGGACGGCGAGGGTCGTCGACTGGACTGTGTCCTACAGTTGACACCATCGGCTCTCCACGGTGGCGTTCTCGTCAGCGGCGGCGGCAGCCTCGGCGGCAACAGCGGCTGGAAGGTTGGCTAGGCGTTGGGCTAGCTCGTTATTGAAATGGAGATGGGGAGCAGGCAAAGACAACAAAACAATGTTCAACTTACCTGGGGTTGGCTTTCCTTCAGGTCTCCTGCGAGGCTATAGGGAATCCGCATCTTAGGGATGGCGAGACGATGGTCGGTCCATCCTTCGGCATCCGGGATCGCCTTTGTCGCCAGTACATCCCGCTGATCTAGCCTCCGGACGAGGACATAGTCTCCCACTAAATCTGGAAGACAACGGCAAAGTCGGCTAGGGATGACCGGAAGCAATATTGGGTAGAAATAGCGACTTACATGGAACAGGCCTCGAGCGCTGCTAGTACTCGAAAACTATTAACTTATCCGCCGATGGTAAGCTCTGTGCACTGAGTGACTCTGTTCGGGACGTGAATGACGACATTATTGCTGACAACCCGGCTAAAGTCGAACGCGGGCATGAACACTTCGAGCACCATCTCAATTTTGATGTCCAGCCCACCACGTCCTTGCTCTTCTCTGGAATGGCGTTTCTTCCCTCTCCAACCTATGCAGTGCCATACGACTCCTCCTTCTGAAGTAGAAGTCACGTATGCCATACAAAGACTGCGCAACAAAAAGGCACCCGGAAAGGACGGTATACACGCTGAAATCTACTAGTCTTGTGTCGACACTCTGGCGCCCTGGCTCCATGGGGTGATTGAACAAGCGGGTAAAGACAAGGTAGCTGCCGACCTCTGGCGCAAACATCCTTGTACTTATCCTCAAGAAGGGAGATAAGACGAGGCGCGAGAACTACCGCGGCATAAGTTTCATCGACGTTGCAGTGAAGATCTTCGCTATTGTCCTTCTTAAGCGATTCCAAGCTGTGCGTGACCTTTTAAGTTTTGTCGATCTGCAGTCTATGGTGTCACGGGCGAATGAGGTCGCTAAATCGGTCGATTTATCCATAAACGCTGGGAAGACTAGTGTTTTCTAGCTGCATTCCTGACCAGGAGGACTCACCTCTCGGAATTGATAGTTGTCAACTTGAAGAAATAGACAGTCTTAAGTAGCTCAGGGCGAGACTGCCGCCGAATGGTCAGAGTAAGGACAACATTGTCTCCCGAATCGATCCTGCCCACCAGGTTTTCTCAAGCCTTAGAAAATGCCTATGGATCCAACACGACATCTCCATCACTACGAATATTCACGACTATCGTGCATCTGTCCGGTCTGTCCTCTATGGTTTTGACTGCTGGGTTGTGCGCGTGGAGGACGAGCGAAAACTCGAGGTATTTGACCACCACTGCTTGAGGACCATCCTACATGTGAAGTACGCCGACTTCGTCTCAAATGGGACAGTCCACGCTAGCTGCGACAGCATCGCAAGGATAACCCAGGCCATCCAAGAAAGACGACCGAGGTGGTTTTGGCGTATTCTACGTCATCCACCTCAGGAGCTTAGCCTTACTGCCCTCTATCCGACACCGTTACCCCATTGGAGAGGTCAAAGAGGGGGTCAACTCGCAACCTGGCTCGACGCAGTCCGTCAAGACATGGAGGTGGTTCTTGGACCTTCAGTAATCGGTCTCCGTCCTTGGCAAAGGGAATGGATTGAACGAGTCTGAAAGCTCAGGATAATAAACTAATTGTTCCGGTGCTCGACTCTTCTTCTTCAAATATGTATACACCTGGAACTCGAAATTTCGCCTTCATTCATGGATTGAACTGTCCAGATCTGCTTCCATGGATTGTCGTGCGTGGGGAAGTATAGTTTGGGACATTATCGAGGCCGGCTAGATCAGGCATAATCGCAGCCGTACCAAGTACAGGTAAGTTATACGTTCGTGGGGAGGATTTTTTGACCATTTTCTATCTCCTGGAGTTTAAACCACAATGCGCTTTAATCAGTCATTTCCAATTTTCCAGCTTCGTTTGCATAGCAAATTATTATCAGTTCCAACTTTGACCAAGCTCCTAGTCTCTGCATTGCTTTATAAGGTCCCCACTAGTTGTTTCTTGCGGCACGACTTCTTTTTTAGGCGATTTTTGCAGAGCTACAAAACGTGAAGCTGGGGAGGGCGGAATTCTTCCGAAGCGTGTATGCCTTCTGGAAGTTAAAACGTGAAGTTAGACGAGGAGTTCCTCTCCTGAAGCGTCTTCAGGCCAGCTCCATCAACCGCGGGGTCGCATCACTGGTAAGTACTCGGGGTTTTTCTTCCGTTGATACCTGCCTTAGTCATAAAAGAGAGACTTGTCCCTTTCCAACCGAGTAAAACTTTTCTCCAGCACTTTGTAGACAAACAGGCAACTGAAAGCGCAGTCATGTTGTGCTTGGATAAACGGAATTCAGGTCATTTAAGTCCACACCAGTAATTTATTTCTGTCGCATGTTCTCAACCCCC